TGCTAGGTTGGCAGGAGCTGAGACAGAGCAAGGGGAGCTCACTCTGTCACGGGGATTCAAACCGCTGACCTTCCGATCGGCAAGCCCATGAGGCTCAGTGGTCAGCCATCGTGTCTAGTAGCCGCTGATAGCCTTAACTTTCATGAGATTGTCAAGTTCTCTTCTTAAGCCATCCAAGTTGGTGGCTTTCACTGCTCCATGTGGCCCCTGCCTCTACCTGCCAAGAATATCCCAATCTAGCGTGGTGCGATGGCCCTGGAATGAAATGTCTGCTGTGCGCTACGGCCTTCTAAGCCCAAATAGAACCTGAGTGCATCTTAGTCTGAGCAGCATTTTAAATGAAAACAAGCCCCAGAAATACTCATCCCTCAGCTTCTGAAATCCTGGAGTGATGGATTGGAATACTCAGCAGCCAAAGTCCTGCCAAAGCAAAGGTTCTCAGGGCAGTATTCACTTCACTCCCCATTACACATGCACTATAAATTTAAGGCTACATTTAACAGTTCAGCTAGCAATGAAAATTATTCCCCAGAAGCAGCAGGGAGAAGCCTGATGGAGACAAGAGCAATGCAGGAATCGTGCATGGTTCAATTTCTCTCTTTTGCCACCCCCTAACCTCCTTCATTATCGGGGGTTGGGGGGTGGAGGAGACTCTGTATGGATGACACAAGGGGCACTGCATCTTATTTACTAAAGGGTTGGCCAGCATTTCAGAAATAATCTCTCCACTTTGCTTTCTTTAATTAAGCTAATCCTGTTTAAACAAATCGGCTTGCTAAGGGCTGGGGGAAGTTGGGGGGTGGAAGGGGCTCAGGAGAAAGTGCTAAATGGAGCCGTTCATTTCCGCTCGCCTACTACTTAGTCACATTAAAAGCCCTCAGCACCACTCTAGCAAAACCCTCTCTGCCATTTAATACTTCATCAGAGCTCCGCTGAAGCACGGGAGGGCATGATTTCCTTTGCTGACTCTCTGGGAACATAGGGAAATGACTTAACATGAGAACATCAGGAGAGCCCTGATGGATCAGGACAGTGGCTTGCCTAGGCTAGTGTCCTCTACTCACAGTGGCCAAGCAGATGACTGTGAGAGACCCTCAAGAACAGGGATCAGCAACCTTTTTCAGCAGGGGGCTGGACCACCATCCCTCAGACCTTGTGGGGGGCCGGACTATATTGGGGGGGGGGGAATGAACAAATTCCTATGCCCCACAAATAACCCAGAGATGCATTTTAAATAAAAGCACACATTCTACTCATGTAAAAACACCAGGCAGGCCGCACAAATAAGCCAGAGGTGCATTTTAAATAAAGGACACATTCTACTCATGTAAAAACACGCTGATTCCCGGACTGTCCGTGGGCCGGATTTAGAAGGCGATTGGGCTGGATCTGGCCCCCGGGCCTTAGTTTGCCTACTCCTGCTCAAGAAAGACCTGAGCACAAGAGCCGTCTCCTCTCCTGTAGTTTCCTGCACCTGGTATCCATTCTGAGGATGGGCCAGCTAGACCAAGGTAAAAAAGGTAAGGTAAAGGACCCCTGGACAGTTAAGTCCAATCAAAGGGGTTGTGGTGCTCATCTCGCTTTCAGGCCGAGGGAGCTGGTGTTTGTCCACAGACATTTCCAGGTCATGTGGCCAGCAGGACTATACCACTTCTGGCACAACGGAACACTGTGACGGAAACCAGAGTGCACGGAAATGCCGTTTACCTTCCCACCGCAGCGGTACCTATTTATCTACTTGAACTGGTGTGCTTTTGAATTGCTAGGTTGGCAGGAGCTGGGACAGAGCAACAGGAATTCACCCCGTCATGGGGATTTGAACCGCCCGCCAACCTTCCGATCAGCAAACCCAAGAGGCTCAGTTGTTTAGACCACAGCGCCACCAATGACCCATCTTGTTCAGCATGCTGCTGGCTAACCAGATGCCCATGGGAAGCCCACAAGCAGGATGTGGGCACAAGAGCACTCTGCCCACCTGCAGTTCCCAGAAACTGGTATTCAGTGGAAGAAGAACATAAGAGGAGGAAGAACATAACCATCGTGCCTAGTACCACTGAGCTATGGCCATTCACGGACAGGAACATTGGAAGCTGAGTTATACAGAATCAGACCATTTGTCCATCAGTATTATTATTATTATTATTATTATTATTATTATTATTATTATCCCGCCCATCTGGCTGAGTTTTCCCAGCTACTCCGGGCAGCTTACAGCATATCTAAAATGATAATGATAATGATGATAATCATCATCATCATCATCTAGCTCAGAATTGTCTACATCAGTGATTTCCAAACTTGGGTCTCCAGCTGTTTTTGGGCTACAGTTCCCATCATCCCTGACCACTGGTCCTACTAGCTAGGGATGATGGGAGTTGTAGTCCAAAAACACCTGGAGACCCAAGTTTGGGAAACACTGGTCTACACTGACCACCAACAGGTTTTTTTGCGGGGGGGGCGGGGGGTAGGCAGGGAACACCCCCAGCCTTACGTGGAGATGCCAGGGATTGGATCTCGGGTAATATTTAGACTACTTCTGCCCCCTTTCCCTGCACACTTACCTGGCAGTAAATCCCATTGAACTTGATGAGCCTCACTTTCTTTGGGGAACTGAAAGCAAATGTTGTGGACTTCTGGAAATCTGAGCTGGAGATGACGTAGGATGGATCCGCAGCAACTTCGTCACCTCAGCGACCTAAGAACTGGGACTTAGGAGCCGAGATGTGGCTATGCCTGAGTGGAAACTGCTGTACTGGAAGATCCATGAAAGGTTATGCTCACGGCAGCGGCACTCAAGAAGAAATGGGGGCGAAGAGACACTTCTAATATTCAGCGCCTGCTCCAGTTCTCGCTAGGATGAAATACAAGCAGTCTGAGAAAAAGCCACTGGGCTGGGGGAAGCCTTGTTATTTATCGGGGCCAATTCTCAATTAGGCTTGTTGTAAGGATGATCTAATCAGATCTGAACCTGACCAGAAGCTGTTGATCATTTGTTGTTTATGATTTCCCCGAGACCTCTGGGCAAGTGTAACTTAATTATTTCTGAACGGAGGCACCGAGGGCCAACGAGACATTTGCTATCCAGGTCGCTATTGCCACTAAATTAGTGCACCGTAATTAAAGCCATCAACAAAGCATAAAAGCGCATGCAATGCATGCTCAGCACAGCGGAGATAATCACTCTCCCAGGCACATGGGCTGCAGACCAGGTTTTGCAGACCCTCTGAGAAATTTAAGTCAGCAAATAATGGCCTGGAGGGTGATAATTTGGCACTGAAGCATCATGCTCTCAATGACTACTATGTGTGATGGCTATGTTCTACCTCCACTGTACATAGGAATATACAATGCTGCCTTATACTGAGTCAGACCATTGGTCCACCTATCTCAGCATTGCCTACACTGACTGGCAGCAGCAAATTTCCAGAGTTTCAGGATGCCTTTAAAAGAGGATTGGACAAATTTGTGGAGGAAAAGGCTATCAATGGCTACTAAATATTGATGGTTATACTCTGCCTCTATGGTCAGTCCCTGGCAGCCACAGGAGTAGAGAGTGCTCTTGGGCTCAGATCCTGCTTTGCTCCCAGTCATCTGGTTGGCAACTGTTGAGAATGGGATGTTGGATTGCATGGGCCATGGGCCTGATCCAGAAGGGTCTTCTGATCTCTCTATGTCATTTGGACATGGCTAGCTTACTGCAGTAGGGACATGGGTGGTGCTGTGGTCTAAACCACAGAGCCTAGGGCTTGGTCAGCAGTTCGAATCCCCGCAACAGGGAGAGCTCCCATTGCTCGGTCCCTGCTCCTGCCAACCTAGCAGTTCAAAAGCACGTCAAAGTGCAAGTAGATAAATAGGTACCACTCCAGTGGGAAGGTAAACGGCGTTTCTGTGTGCTGTTCTGGTTCACCAGAAGCAGCTTAGTCATGCTAGCCACATGACCCAGAAGCTGTCTGCGGACAAACGTGGGTTTCCTCAGCCAGTAAAGCGCCGCAACCCCTGAGTCGTCTGTGACTGGACTTAATGGTCAGGAGTCCCTTTAACTTAGTGCAACTAATTTAAGCAGGCTACTCAGTTACAGCCTATTGACTATCAGCAGCTGTCAAGGGGCTGTTAGGAAGGCAGGTTCATCCACAGGGCAGGAAAAGGACTTGAGACATAGAGTGCTATCAGCATTTGTTCACAAAAGTCAAAAAACAACATAACAGAGTTCGTCAAAACTAATCTGGCCTAGTTGAAGATGTTGCTGGAACTGGTGTCTGGCCCCTTTCCTTCTCTAGCCCTCTACCTCTGGACTCCTCCTAAGCAGCTGTAAACTCTGGCGACGGGGAGGGATCCCCCTCTGGGACTGTCTGACCCATTGCTCAGCAACATGCAAGGTTCTTCACATTCTGGGTGTCAGTGGAGGAGGAGAGCTGACCGAAGAGGGGCTGTCCAGCTGCCGGGCAACTGAAGCAGCGTCTGGCTCCTCTCTGTCTGTGCTCACACTGTGCCCCTTGGCGCCCAGCTCTCTCCTTCTTATCCCCTGTGTTCACTCACTTCTGCTTCTATCACCTCCAGTGAGAGCCAGTGTGGTGCAGTGGTTAAGAGCGGTAGACTCGTAATCTGGGGAACCGGGTTCGCCTCTCCGCTCCTCCACATGCAGCTGCTGGGTGACCTTGGGCTAGTCACACTTCTCTGAAGTCTCTCAGCCTCACTCACCTCACAGAGTGTTTGTTGTGGGGGAGGAAGGGAAAGGAGAATGTTAGCCAGTTTGAGACTCCTTCAGGTAGCGATAAAGCAGGATATCAAATCCAAACTCTTCTTCTTCTTCTTCTTCTCCCAGCTTGTCCCTTCTGCAGACTGGTCCCTTGTGTCTCACTACCACTGGCCTGGGTCTCCTACCTCTGTGTCATTCTTGGGGGTTCTTGGGCAGGCAGCGTCCACCACTCTAACTCATCCAGCCAGTCCCTCTCTAAAGTTTTAGCCACAGAGCCTTCCCTCCCTCCCCTGAGCCCAACCTGAGATGTCACTAGAGATTAAACCCAGGACCTTCTGCATCCAAGGCAGATGTTCTGCCACTGAGCCATGGCCCTCCAGTACTCTTTGTGTTGTCCTGCCATTGATTGGGATGGGCTGAGCAAAGCCCTGGGCCCATTCCATCCTTGGAAAATGTGTGAGCTTTAGTCACCTATTGCACTCAGCACCCACCATAATTCAAGAACAGCGCACCTTATCCCTGCAGTGTTTTGGACAGGAAAGACGTTAGCGTAATTTAAACCGACCGTTGCCCCACCTCTGCCCCGCAAATACCAAAATCTCTAATTCGGAGAATAAATTGATGCTTCATAATACGTCCTTGGTACCAATAAAGGAAATAAATACTGCTCCCAAAGACCACATTAACTGCTGGGATTCGTTCTGGCGTGCAGATAAACCCTTTGCAATCAAGCATGGAGAGGCATAATACCCATCCATAACACACTTGGCCTTCCGCACTGTTTTATCTGTGCTGTGATAGATTTCCGCGCCGTGTGCAATTCATCCGGCGCATCTCAGCATTAGCGAGGAAGCTATTTCAGCAGGTATTAGATTAATCACTGCTCATTGGCAGACTGGCTCCGCTGGATGCTTTTCTTGTTTCTCGTGAAACACTGGGTGACTTTTAGAAAGAAACCGAGAACTGTTGGTACAGGCCTCCGCCTGCCAATGCCATAGCAAGCGCTCCTTTACAAAATGCTCAGCATAGATTCCATTGTGGCAGTCAGCGTGGAAGAACTCAGATGCTGCTTGTAGGAGATGAATGAATTAATGACGGGCTGTAGCTCAGTGGTAAAGCATCTGTTTTGCATGCAGAAGGTCCCAGGTTCAATCCTCAGCATCTCTGGGTAGGACTGAGCACAACTCCTTCCTGAAATCTTGGAGAGCCTCTGCCTCTTGTTGTTGTTGCTGCTGTTTAGTCGTTTAGTCGTGTCCGACTCTTCGTGACCCCATGGACCAGAGCCAGGCACTCCTGTCTTCCACTGCCTCCCGCAGTTTGGTCAAACTCATGCTGGTAGCTTCGATAACACTGTCCACCCATCTCGTCCTCTGTCGTCCCCTTCTCCTTGTCCCCTCCATCTTTCCCAACATCAGGGTCTTTTCCAGGGAGTCTTCTCTTCTCATGAGGTGGCCAAAGTATTGGAGCCTCAGCTTCACGATCTGTCCTTCCAGGGAGCACTCAGGGCTGATTTCCTTCAGAATGGAGAGGTTTGATCTTCTTGCAGTCCATGGGACTCTCAAGAGTCTCCTCCAGCACCATAATTCAAAAGCATCAATTCTTCGGCAGTCAGCCTTCTTTATGGTCCAGCTCTCACTTCCATACATCACTACTGGAAAAACCATCGCTTTAACTATACGGACCTTTGTTGGCAAGGTGATGTCTCTGCTTTTTAAGATGCTGTCACTGCCGGTCAGTGCAGGCAATAATGAGCGGCATAGACCAGTGGTCCATGTGGCAGCTTCATATCTTCCTACTTGGAAAGGGCCATAGATCAGTGGTAGGGCAATGACTTTGCATGTAGAAGGTCCCAGGTTTGATACCCATCATCTCCAGGTAGGGCTGGGAATGTATCCTGTCTTTCTGTCAGAGGTAGTCAATACCCCTGAATATCAGTTGCCAAGAATCCCAAGTCAAGGGAAGTGATGTTGTGATCAGGACACAGAAGCTCAGCTGGGTAGATATAGCACTAAGAATAAAGGAATAGGGTGCCTCTGGAAATATGCAGCCTTCCCAGAGGCAGTAATGGCCACTGTGTTGGACTGGCTGGGGGGAGTTTTCGCAGTCAAACCTAGCAAACCTAACAATGCATATCTATGCTAGTTAGTATGTGAAGGGGTTAAGGGCCACAGAGTTCTAAATTACTAGAGTAGACTCTGAGATGTCACATCCTCTCTTCTCCAAGGAGGGAGAGTGGAAGGTTTGCTTTCTGTCCCCCCGCCCTTCTGTATGTAAGCTGAACAGATGCATGAGTCTGTACCTCCATGCCTAGACTCCATGTTTGAGACTAATGTATTTTACAACCAAGAAAACCTTGTGTGTTGTTTCTGCTGTAGCACTGAACGATGAATGACTGAGACCTGAGATTACTGTAAGTAAAGCATTTAAACCTACTAAGGTTTGTAGTCTATTCACTCATTGAAGTCAGTATTGCAGGAGAAGGATGCACCTCAACCATGGAGGGCATTCCACAAACAGGGGACCACCACTGAGAAGGCCCTGTCATGAGTCAACCACCATATTTCATCGTTTACTATTGTAGAATGGGCCATTGGCCTGATCCAGCAGGTTTTTCTGATGTTCTTAGCTTTGATTTATTTAAAACTGGTTGGAACAGTTACACAGCATAGGCTTTCCATGAGGAAGGTCCCATGGTCAATCCCCGGCGTCTACCCTAGGGATGGGAAAGAGCTTCATTTTCAAACCCTGAAGAGGTGTTGCCAATCACTGCTGTTAATCCTGAGCTAGATGGGCCAATGGTGTGAGGCAGCTTCCTCCATTCCTCAAATATTCAGACCAAGCAGATTTCACTTTTGGGAAAATATGTGGCCGTAACTTCAGAGTTCCTAAAAGCCGTGAGACAATCCATGCCCCCCCCCCCAGCCAATGCATTTCTTTCCCACAAAAGTGCAATTCTATTTTAGACCTGACAGACAAAGATGAATTGATCAGTGAATCATTAGTGAATGCTGGCTTGCCAGTAATCTTTACTCGAACACATTCATTTTGTGCAAACGCAGGACAGTCCGAACAAGTAACATATATACTCAGTGCTTTTAAAAGGCTAATTTCCCAGAGGTAAAATCAATCAAAGGCTTTGCCTGAAGGGTGGGCGGGAGAGGGGGAACCCAGGCAGTGAAAGGTAAACAGCAGCCTGGTGTTGTTTAACAAGGGTTCGGATAGGTGATTGACAGCGACAGCAGCAAAGAAATGAAGATATTTCCCAGCGCTGCAAATAGCAGAAAATGAACACACTTTCTTGTGGAAACAGAGAGATTGTGAAGGCAATTAATAAACAAGCCAATTACATTTTGCTGGTTTGCAGTGATGTCACACCAGCGTGCGGAGGGCCACAGGGGCAGTTGCCCAGGGTGCAAAATTTCAACATATGGTGCTGCCTCAATACAGCTGCTCACTTTTGTCGCTGGGCTCCATTGCAAATGGCTTCTCCATGCAAATCAGGAAGTGACCTTTCCAGACAACGGAACAACTCTTCTTTTCTTATCTCTGCAGTTGTGATCTCCTGGGTGATATGGACATGGTTAAGCAGTTGAATGCACATGCATGCTCTATCTGAAACCAAAGGGGTGCAATGGTTGCTGGATGAATTTTTGTTTTTTTAGCTCTCTTACCCCACTATATGAAATTTGCACCCACAGGAGGCAGTGATGGCCACCAACCTAGATGGCTTTAAAATAGGATTAGACAGATTCATGGAAGAGAGGACCATCGATGGCTACTGGCTCTGCTCTGCTTCAGAACCCCAGGAGGGGAGAGGGTTCTTGTGCTCAAATCTTGCTTGTTGGCTTCCCAAAGGATTTCTGCTTAGAGCCAGCAGTTCTCAACCTGTGGGCCCCCAGATGTTGTTGGACTACAACCCCCATCATCCCTGAGCTCTGGCCTTGCTAGCTAGGGGTGATGGGAGTTGTAGTTCAACAACATTTGGGGAACCTCAGGTTGAGAAAGGCTGGCTTAAACAATGTGAGAACACAATGCTGGACTAGGTGGGCCATTGGCCTGATCCAGAAGGCTCTTTCGATGTTCTTATGAGCGGCCAAAGTGACTTGCCATTTATTTGCCTGTGCATAGGAAGCACACAATCCCAAGGGGCATATATCTGCCCAGAGGCTGATAATGCTCAGCTATGTATCACCAAATTCAGCAGAGCATATGCAATGACTCACCCAGAACTAAGGCGAGAGGCTTGACATTTCTGGCTTGGTTCTTGCTTCTTACTTTTCCAGCACTCAGTGTTGCTGAGTAAGGCTTGCTAGCTTCATTTCTTGGGAAAGGGGAAGCCATCACTTTCATGAGCCACTGAGGAGCTTGGTTCCCTGGGATGCCCTAATGGCTTGCAAGCAGTGCACACAAAGAGGGGGAAGGGTGCTTGGCAGAAAGGTGGCTATGAAAAAAAAGAGCAAATTTTATACAACACTCTGATCCTGAATTTGCACTGTGTGAATAAGGAAAATAAAGAACACAGGGGTCACGGGTTGAAGAAGTCACCCTGCGACATGATGAGGACTGTGCTCCCTGATTGGCTGGTGGAGTGCTGTGCTCCCTGATTGGCTGCTGGAGCATGCTTGACAATCCTATCATTGCCTTCTCCTCAGCTGGCTCTTGGTTGAAATTCTCATTGCCAGAGGAGAGAGCAGGAAGCCCTCATTCCAACAACATTCAGTGCTGTATCAACAAAGCTTTACAGTTAACAGCCCAAATGGATTATTTTCTGCCTGGCACAATTAGCCGTCCTGGCATTCAACTGGTATCCAAAGAGGGATTTGGCCCAGTCACTGGGAAAACCTTCCATTTTCCCATGTTGCTGCCAATGCAACCTAAGCCAAGGCCTCCATTATCCACCCTTCCTGTCCTTTCTTGAGCCAGGCTGTCTCCACCCTCACCACATTGCTGTCCAATGTGGCTTTTACAGGGTGTTGGCAATTCTTACCCTCCTCACTGCTTGCAACAGGAAACTGTGCTCCAAAATCAGCATTTAGACAAGGCAATGGTTTGCATCAGAGGGAGGCAGATCTTCCTTCCTTCCCTTGCAACATGTTGCTAATCATTTGCTTAGTCCGAAGAAAGTCGCATTGATTTCAGTGGGATACTTACTACCAGTTCAGTGTGCTTAGGATTATCCCCACCCCCCAACTTTATAGATGAGACTGGCGGCAGAAGTCATCCCATAATTGTATCCTGCTGAGGTCCATCTTGTAACAGGTAAAGGGAGGCCCTTTTCCATCATAACAATGAGTTTGGGGAGGCAGCTCCTCTTTGAAATAAATCAAGCAGTAAAGGTTGGAACTTAAGGGCAAATGGGACAGCCAGCCCCCAAC